TACAAATCAAGACACTAAAACTGTCAAAGTCTTATACTGACTTTAGTATCCCCACAACTCTGAATTTCTTTTCCAATCATATATTATATGTTTTCAAATACTTCTAAGTCTATTAAGAATTACCATAAGGAAAATGTGGTACATTTACACAATGGAATACTACACAGCAGAAAAAAATAACGACATCTTAAATTTTGCAGGCAAATGGATGGAGCTAGAAAATACCGTTTTGAGTGAGGTAACCCAGACCCAGAAAGACAATTATCACATACTTACTCATAAGTGGTTTTTAAATTTAAAGCAAAGAAAACCAATCCACGGATCACAATCCCAGAGAACCTAGACAACAATGAGGACCCTAAGAGACATACATAGATCTAACCTACACGGGAAGTAGAAAAAGACAAGATCTCCTGAGTAAATTGGGAGCATGGGGACCTTGGAAGAGGGATTAAGGGGAGGGGAGAGGCAGAAGGGGAACAGAAAATTGTAGAACTCAATAAAAAAAGAAAGAGAATTAACATATATAAAGGGATTTTTCAATTAACATCGGTTGACTGATTCACATAACATTTGATTTTCAATGCTTTTTATTAGTTCTTCAATACTTTCTTTCATGTGTATAAAGCATTTTGATCGTGTCTACCTCACCATCCACTTCCCACTCCTCAGGACATCCCTCAACACTTCCCTCTCTCTTCATGTCCTCTTTCATTTATTTATTTTTAAAATGTTGGATTTTTATCATGTTTTAAAAATGAATGGCTCCTGATAACAGTCAAAATGTTAGGATTAAGACCTCTATTTCTTCGGTTTCAATCCTGCCATCCCTAGAAAAAGAGAGCAAACACAAAGGATAATTGAAAATTGTGAATCTTTCCTGAGTCTGATTAAACTTTATGCGCAGTTCCCTTGTCCCCCATGGGCACAGCAGAGGTCTTATCTGAAGTCCTGTATCCTCAGTATCATGACCTTCATCTTGGATCCACTCCTGTACATCATGCAATTAGACTACACTGGCCTCATTTTTTAAGTAGGTACAATTGCACTGCAGGCTCATATAAAGTCCTCAAAATTACTCTCCAAAATTCAGACAGAATGGCTGGAGTGTGGACTACTGCATTGATGATGGGTAGTCAACATTAGCTGGTGATCAGGTAGGGATGGATGTTTTGTCTCTTCTTAGAAAATTCATGTTGTCACTCAGTGAATAGAATTACGGTTTATAATGATTTATGAGCACTGGAAAGAAAGAAGTTAAGTTCAAATCCAGTGCATACATTGCTATCTTTTGAAATTAGTCATATTTTAATGGTTTTCTTGGAATGTTTTCCTCTTTACATATCTCTTCAACATGACTATTTCTGCCGTGACTGTAAAGAGCCATTCATGACTTTCTGTGTACAATTATAGGTTTCTAGCCTGTCATACATGAAGGCTGGAGCTGGATTTTATTGAGGTATAAACTTTACAAAAGGAATATTTTTGTTATGTTTTATGTGTGTGTATAGGATGTGTATGCCTATGTGTGGGTGGGGGCTGTGTATAGGTGTGTATTTGTGTATATGGGTGTGGTGTGTGTATGTGTGTATGGGATGTGTGTTTAGATGTGAGTGTATGTATAGGGTGTGTGTGTGTATAACTGTGTGTTTGTAGGGATTATATAGATGTGTGTGTATGCAGGGGAATGTGTGTAGGTATGTATGTATAGCTGTATGTATGTAGGGCTGTATAGGGGTATATATAGCTGTGTGTATGTAGGTGTATGCATGTAGCATGTGTATAAGTGCATGCATGTAGGTGTGTGTATGTGTCTGCATATGTGTGTGATGTGTGTAAGGGTGTGGGGGGTAGTTATAGTTGTGTGTGTCTATAGGTATAGGTATATGCATGTATAGGGTGTGTGTGTAGGAGTGTGGATGTGGATGTAGATGTGTGTATGTGGGGGTGTATTGTAGGCATGTGTGTGTATAGGTGTGTGTGTGTATGGTTATGAATGTAGAGGTGTGTATAAGTGTGTGTAAGTGCATATGTAGGGGTGTGTGTGTGATGTGTGTAGGCGTGTGTGAGAGTAGGTTTAGGTGTGTGTATGTGTATATAGGTGTGTGTAGGTATACACATGTATAGGGTGTGTATGTAGGGGTGTGTATGTGTATGTAGGTGTGTATATGTGTGGGAGGATGTATGTGTAGGCATGTGTGTGTATGGGTATGAGTGTAGGGGTGTGTATAAGTGTGTATGTAAGTGCATGTGTAGGTGCAGGTGTGTGTGTGTGTGTGATGTAGGTAGGTGTGTGTGCTGGGGGGGCATGCATGCGGAGATCAGAACATAACTTCCAGAACGGTATTGAACTCAGATCCTTAGGTTTGCTGGCAAGAGTTTATATCCACTGTGTCATCACACTAGCTCTCAAACTGGAATATTTTTTATCCAAGAGCTCGGGGCTATGGTAGGATTGTAAATTCAAAGCCAGTCCAGGGTACACAGAGAGCTCCTGTCTAAACATAGAGGAAGCAAAAAAGATTGCTTTATTTATTCTTCCGGAGAATGTCGGTTATTGAACACATCACCATTAGCTGCCTGAAGAGTGTGGAAGGTAGGTAATGAAACATAGCCAACCGGAACTTAGTAGATCTATCTAGGCTGAGAACAGCCACTGCATAAAGGCCATCAAAGGCACAGGGGCACAAGGCGTGAAGTTACATACAGAAAAATTTCCCAAGACCTGGGGGCACTCAGGTGCTTTCATGTCCACTGTGAAGGACGAGGAGATGCTGAAGATGACACAGCCAGAGACAAGGTGCAGGTAACAGAAGCATCTCCAGCTTTTCCCTTTGCCCTGTGGAGTCTCAGACTTGGAGCCAGACTGCTGGTTCTGGGAAATCCCAAGAACTCTATAAGCATTCTTGTGTCTTCCAAGCTAGCTCTGAACTAGATTGAGACTAACTCTCCCCGAAGTCCTGTTGCCTCTGACCTCTGCAGTGGCTTCAGGGTCATGAGACCTCATTTCTCACACAGCCTCACTTGGTGCCTCCAGCTGTGCAGATTTAACAAGCCTTGGCCTCACTATTCCCTGGCTAACAAAGGCTCAAGGAGGTGGGAAATCCACAAAGACCTCTGTAGGGTGATCTGGGGGTGTGGCTTAGGGAAGGTCAGAGATTGACAGACCTTTGTAGGAGGATCTGGGAGTGTGGCTTAGAGGTCAGAAATCCGCAAAGACCTCTGTAGGGTGATCTGGGGCTGTGGCTTAGTGGTAAAGTATACATTTAGCACATGTAAGGTTTGACTTCTAGCACTACAAAAACACAAACAAAAAGTGTCCTGCAGGTTGTTGGATCAACACACAAGGGAGGTGATTTGGCCTAGCTACTGTTTTCTCCTCTGAGAAAACAAGAAGCTGAGCCTTGGGGCACATGCCAAGGAATCGTGAGACCCAATTCTGTCTAAGAAGGCTCTTCAGAAGCCATTTCTCACAGTACATATTAAAATGCTCCTTAGCATATTCTTTGAAAATATGGCAACACCCGGAATTTCATAATTATCATGACTCCTTTTATTTCAAAACTTCAATATATTAGCCCTTAAAGTGAGGCACATATATGTGATCTTTCCTAAATTTTTATATTGCCACACATTGTATTGCCACACATTATAATTATGACACTGCTTTCACGTCTCCTAATTTACTAGGACACAAACAGGAATGGAAATAAGGAACAGAAACTTTAGATTGTTTACTCACTCATACTTTTACTTTTTTTTTCATAGTGATCTTTGCCAATTTCTAACAAAAATAAATAAAATCTAACAATAACTTGTAAATTACAGTCTCCTTCACTATTTTAAGGTACACAACTATCAAAGCTGATATTACCTACTAACAAATTGATACAATTCAGTTCTCTGATAACATTTATAGTCAAATAAGTTTTAGGTGAACGCAACTTTATGTTCCATTAGAATCTTTACGAGAAACGTTATACCAGAGTGGCTCTTCAAACTTACAAAGTGCAAGGGCAGAGTGCAAAAAGGCAAGCAGAAAAATACACTGTGTTACATTCAACAGCATCAGGGGTGAATAGCAGAGCTCTCCTAGACATACATATTCTTTCATTAAAACTTTAAAATGAACCCCAAAAATGCTGCCTATGCTCCTCTTGCTCCCACAGCATTAGAACAATTAGTAAACAATGGGCAGCAAATAAAACTTTTTTTTTTAATTCTGCAAAATAGAAGTTGAAGTAAAAGTGACAAGTTTGGCTGGATGAAATGATTTAAAGGAAACTTTACTGTTTTTATGACTGAAAGAAACAAAAATTAGACACTAGTTTGTGCCACATATTTGCTGTCTCTCAGCAGTTAAATTTATTTTGCTATCTTTTCAAGGACTTAAAAGTTAAATATTTGGCTTTGCCCCTGGTTTGATTCTTGGCAGAGAGAGGAGGGTGAAAATATGGAAGAAAGCAGTAGAGCTGCAGTGTGGGATGGAGGCTTTATGTAGCAAAAATCTCTGTTCTAGGACAAAATTGCAGTGTTGAGCACAGCGCATGAGGTCTTTGCTTACAGAATGCGTCTACTGGGAGACTGTAAGGGGTGCAATTTTGCATCTGGAATTGCTATGGTTCTCAATATAGGATTTGTATAGCCTTGTGGATATTCCTGCGTGAGTGTGCGAATGTGCAATATAACGAGAAATATGTGTGACACATGAATTGATTGTACTTTTCTTATGCTTACTTAGCATAATCTTCACTAAAACAATGACTTTCTCCAAACTTATGTTCACGCAAACCCTGTAATCTCCATCATACTATTCATTAATAATATGTTTTTTTATGGGACTACAGGTGTAGCCCAATGGTAGTGTTTGCCCAACATGTGTAAGGCTTTGAGTTTTATTTCAAGCTTTGAGAGCAAAACAAATTATATATATATATATATACAAATTATATATATACAAACTATATATATATAAATATATACATATAATTCTTTCCTGAGATTTTTTAAAAAATGTTTAAAGATATGCAAAGCTATTCCAAAGTTCTTGCATCAAATTCTGTGATGTGATTGGAAATGCTCATAGTGGAGCAAGATACTCATATCTAAAAGCCTTTTTAGGCATCTGTAAATTAACTGGCTCTATTCTAGCTCAGTTCTTGATGAGCTTTAAACTTTCATCTGGAGAAGTCAAGGTCACTTAAAATAGGCCAGGTTTCTCTCTGTCCAGTTGGTACCAATGGGATTTAAAATGTGTTCTTACTCAGGACCTTAGACTTTAGCTAAATAAAATGACAAAGAAATATACCTTTAAATATCACTGACTTTCATTTGCCTTTGTCATCTTAGAAGTAAATATGTTGGCTAATGCAGAAATAAACAGCTGGAATTCTGCAAAGTGTGGCGGGTATGTATGCACAAGCGTGTGTATGCACAAGCGTGTGTACAGTAATGCAGTGTGCATTGCTTCTCTTATCTGCTGCTTCCCCACATAGTAAGGCCCGGATTTTTGATGTGAGCTGTGTGAACCTTCCAGGGTTTTCCATGAGTGGCTCCAAAGGGCAGGAATGTTTTCTTCCCTCGCACTCTAGAGGTCAGAAGCAACTCATGATGGCTTGGCTGCCCTAGCACGTGCCAGGAAAAAGGTGGAGGAAGAATAGACTCTCCCTGGCCTGGAATGTGCTCCAGAGAGATTCCACCTAAGGCTGAGCCTTCGGTTAGGCAGCCTCCCAGGAAAGGCCAAGGTGTGCCGGCCGGGACTCCTGAGGCAACCACACAGAATACGCGAGTGACTCAGGAGGACCTACAGTCCGAGAGCCAACAGGCAGCGCAGAGACTTAGCTTCTCTCTTTCCATAAGTGCAAACTAATGACAGGGAGAGGGCCCATGTTTTTAAAATGTAACTTTAAAATCTGAAATAAGGTATTTGCTGAACTAGTTGTTAGTGAAAATTCTCTTGAAACTGGGCATGGTAATGTGGGCCTATGAGCCCAGAGCCAAGGAGGCTAAGGCAGGAGAATTACCATGAGTTTGGAGCCACTCTGTTCAAAAGAGTGAAACTCTGAGTAAAAAAAGAAAAATAACAAAAAAACCCAAACAAACAAAAAACAAAAAACGAACAAAACCTCTTGAATATAAAATAAAAAGTACATTTCCATGTTAGATAAGATCTGACTAGCAACCTGCTGCATTTTAAAATTATGATTAATTTGATTTGAGATTCAGATTTAATCCTACAATTCTTCAGTAAATTCCCTATAAAAATAAATAATCTAAAAGGGAGTTCAAATTTTCTTCAAATGTGGATTTTCTGATTGATGTTCAAGAAGGACTTCACATAAATGATGTACTCTACATAAACGGAATGCCCCTGCTTCAGGTGGGTTAGCATAGGGCTTGTCCTTTGACCCCTCTAGGCACGTCTGTACCAAATAGCAGGGATGCTGAGGAGAGCTCCTCTCCAGGATTGGTTGGCTCACGGGTGTGGTGTGAGGCACACAAGTTGTGTTTACCTCCCCTTATTACTGTTTTAACACATGAAGCAGAGGTGTCAACCTCTGTGCCAAGCCCTGATATAGTCAAGTCAGTTGTCATAGATCTGAGAAGTAGAAAACAGATTATTGATGCAATTGATTTGACCATATTATTAGGCCCACCGGAATGGCACTTGCGTCAGGCTGGGCATTGCTGACTCCGAGCATTGCTCCAGCTTACTGAGCTTTGACGCTTTTCAATAAAGCATTTCACTCAGGAAATTCTTACAAAAATATCAATTTTCTTTTGATATTAAATACTTTACATATAATATATTAACAAATAGTCTGTCAAAAATAAAACACTTTCCAAATATATTAAAATATAAACAGTTATTGACCTAACACATGACCCAACATAAATATTATTAATAAAATGAAATATTGACATTAACCAGGCATGCTATGCATCCCGGTTCAGAACTTGATGGTGATGTTCAGACTTGTGGCACTGCAGGGTCTCCGGAAGTTACTCTCTCATATTCCTTCTTCGATTTATTACTTTTTCGATGTTTGTACCTAGAAAAACACCAGAAAGGAAATAGCACTGTAACTAACAGATACAAAAACAAACTCTAAAACAAATACATGGACTTCCAGGGCACATTAAGACCGGGCATCCGGTGGCATATGCCTTTAATTCCCAGCACTCGGGAGACAGATGCTCTGGAGATGGATATCTGAGTTCAAGGCCATCCTAGTCTACAGAGTGAGTTTCAGGGCGACCAAGGCTACACTGAGAAACCCTGCTTCAGCAAACAAAAGGGAGACGGCATCCAAAATGACCAGCGCACCTCTACTTAGGTCAAACAAGGGGAAATTCGAGAGACCAAGAGGGCAATGCCCTGCAGCCTATCTGGTTTGGTAAGAAATGGACATGAAACGGTTAACATGAAACCATTTCTCCAAGGGCTTAACGTGAGAACAAAGCTGGGAATGACAGGAGAAGTTCTCCAATATCTTTTTCTATCAGTTTCTCTCACCAGTATTGAGTTCTGTTACATCTAATTGTATGTCTATAACCTGAATGGGTTTTCTAGAATACCTTAAATCATCCCCAGGATGTATTTAAAACCCAATACAATGCAGAAGCTCTATGATACCTGTTAGAGTGTGTTGTTTAGGTTCGGCATAGATACTGTTTTCAAATTCTAATTAGGAAGACATTATCATTGGTTGGCTATTTAGAACAATATCTGGACAATGTATTTCAGAAAAGATCTTAACCAACAATTTGTACCAGCTTCAAACTAAGAAGAGTAAACTGGAAAGATTTTTGTGGGCACTATTAACTATTCAGACTGTTTCATAAATCCAGTCAAATTAAAAACCCTGACAATCTTAACTATATATCCTCTCAGTTGCCATTTTGTGATAATATCACTGTAGGACAAGAATCCTAATTATTACAGGATGAAATTTTCAGTCTATATTTTTATAAAGATATGAATATTCCTTGCTTTGACCTTTATATGCATATAGGCAGGAAGTAAAGGTTAGCAATTGAATGAAACCTGGGTGCAATGCAACAAGGCAGTTTTGTAAATACCACAGTGCAGATTCCATCTTGTGCCACTCATATTATGTTTGGATTTCAACCAGTTTGTAGGTCTGTTATTGGGTAGTTTGGAAACCCATGGGCAATAAAACGAACCGGCTTACCATCTGCAGAAATAGTATATGGACCCAGCGGTGATGACAAAGAACAGGAGAATGAGAATCGCTGTCAGGGCAACGTATTCTTTGCTCAAGGGTTTGTGAACGGTGAGGAAGAAGTGTTCACACCGGACACCAGTGTAGCCCACGTCACATCTAAAGAATGCAAAGGAAATCAATTATTTTTAAATGAAGTCATGCTATGAGTTAGTATTATAAGAACTAAGTTTTCACGGCAATAGAAGGAACCAGCAAGATTTTTTTTGTTATAAAAATGAATTCAAAAATTGAACTCAGAGTTGGGTCAGCATTAATAAAGTGCCTCCATACAGCTTCTAGGACAAACCACAGAGGCAAAAGGACAAACTGATCTGGCTACTAAGGTACTGGTCACCTAGGATGACTGAGTTTTGTAGATATGAGATTTTTCTTCTAATTGGTTCTTAAAACAATAGCTTATAGAGAAATCCAATCAAGGTTCAGTTGCCATTGTAGTGAGAGGGGAGGCATCTGAAGTTCCCCTCACTGTTCTGCACCCCAAAATATCTGTCCATATTGGAATGTTATATTTACTCTCTAATTTCAAAAACGTAATAAAGTTTTTAATTGTATAAAAATAAAGTACATTTCAACAGCCCATAGAAATGTAGTAACTAATACGAAAGGAGAGAGAGGACGGCGCAGGCTCCAGGACCTGCATCATCACGTGCTCACGTTACCTGCAGTAGTTCTCACTCATGTCCACCAGGTAGATGCACTGTCCATGCAAGCAGTAGCCATTCATGTCAGAGCTGCACTTGGTGATTGACACTTGCGCCACACGGGGGTTGTCTTCCGTCTGAACTGTAACGAGAACGCAAAGTTGAATGACTTGTGTTACGGGGCTCTGAGTGCATAGCTGTCCTTTAATAACAGCAACCTCTGTACAACTTCAGTAGTCAGGTTAGAGGTCAGCAATGGAGAATTTGGGGGGTCAAGACGTTACCCTACTTACTGCATTTCCCCAACCTAAAAACAGACACCTGAACATGCAGCAGGCCCCCAAGCAATAAACAAACAGCTAAACAGGCTAAACAAACTGGAGGATTTAATATTCAAAAGACAGACATGCAGATAGGTTGGAGTACTCTTTCCTGCCCAAGTAACAGTAACAACAACAAAGCAGTAGTGGAGGGAGGTTGTCAAAATTCTGGAAAGCCTAGTGATGATGGACAAGAAAGAAGATAACCTTGGACAGCTCTTTGGCTTCCATATTCAGCTCAGACCAAAGCTTAGAAGCCTTCCCTTGGACCACGTTCCCCTTGGGGGAGCAATGACCACTCATAGGTCTCCATCAGTCACCTTTGTATTTCTACCTGAACGCGATGCTGATTCACACCAAGCACTCCACAAACGGTTCCTGCACACTAGGACTGAAGTGGAAGGAGACCATTTCCTCCTCTGACATGCTACAGCTATCAAGAGAAAATGTGCTGTGTACGAAACTTACACGTTCCTGTTCTTCATGGGAATTGTCCCTTCAAACACACTCCAATAATGGCTCTATACTAATGGATTTTCCTTATTTGCTGTCTTTCTAAAACTCGATTTTTTAAAATCTATAACGACATGTCTTATCTTTCTCCCCTTGTTACTTCTTCATGAAATCTCTCCAGATCTCTAGTTAACTATAAGGTTTAAAAATGGATAGAGCAGGTGTCCCCTCCTTTTGCTTCTTTAGCTTGCATTAATATTTACATTTTCTTTACAAATGTGAAACGCTCTGATGCTGCTTCCATGACCTCGGGCTTACCTAGAGCTGTGCAGTTGTCCTCGGATTCTCCTGGGATGCATGATGGAATCACGGTTGTGCTGATAACCCCTGGTAGAAGGTGGAAACCTAGTTATGGAAGATAAAACACATAATTAATGCATCAAGAAAAAAACTTTCACTAAATTTCTACGTATCGTCCCTATCAATTGAGATGTTCTGTTTTAAGAAGTTAATTCATCAGAGTGATAACAGAAAATAATTTATGGAAGCGTTCATATAATTGAAAATAAGTGTTCCCTCTTGTAAATAGATTTTAATTTACAAAATAAAGTCTAGATAAAATGAGAATATTGTTGCCCTTTATTGTTTGTGGAGATGAACTTTAGCATGCCCACAGATACCTAAGCTTGCAGCTGTTCAAATCCCTCTCCTAAACTGCTGTAGGATTTGCAGATCTGAGTTTCTTTCCTAGTGGACCTTAAATCATCTCCAGATTACATCTAAAACCCAATCCAATACAGGCACTATGTGAAACCTGCTATACTCTGTTGTTTAGGTTCGGTACCGACAGTATTTTCAAATATTTTGAACCCATGGATACAGGCGGGCCATCTGTATGTCTTATCTAATAACGCCAGAAGAAACTGGTGACCCATGCCAAGCTGTGCGAGCCCTAGCACCGAGTGTCTGTCAGCATGGTGAAATTGAAACAAGTGTCTCATTCAGTAAAAAGGTGAAGGTTGGAAATTAGGTATCAGAATGACTCAAGTCGTGTCTGAATTGTGCAGGAAACATGATAAGAAGAGCCTTCTAATTAGATACCTGGTTACGCAATAGTATTCTGCCTCTCCTGTTTAATCTTTGAGTATTTGCGCTCCAGCCTTCTTCCTGGCTTGTAGAAGTCACTATTACACAGCCAATGCCTATGCTGGCGGTAGGAGCAGCAGCAGCAACTGAGACGCCTCAGTCACAAACCAGGCAGAGGCGTTGTTCTGTTCATTTTATCCATGCTCTCACTAATGCTAAGGAAGACATTACTACCTCTATTGGACATTTAAAAAGACCTACTGAGCATAAAGAGTTTAAATAACTTCTCCCAATGGCACACATTAAATGGGTCAGATGCTAGAATTTGGAAATGGGTAATAATACTTGACGATGATGAACACCACATGGCACACACCAGGCTAGCGAAAGCAGAGTATATTTGCATCACAGAGAAGCAAAAGAACGGTGAAAACATAGTGGTGTGAGAAAACTTGATTTATACTAGTTGAACACAAGAATCACTTCCCCAACTCTCAATTTTTCTAACAGAGTTTTAGGGAGACTGAAATGGACTTTCCCCCAGAAATGCCCAACGTATCCGAGATTCCCATAAATATGCCTCTGGTTTTAATACCCTATCCAGTTAGTGCCCCCTACTGGTTTACAGCAAGAGTATAAATTTCTATACATGGCTGTTTAAATGCATCATTTAATCAATATGTTAAAAAATAGATTTTTTTTAATCAGAGAAACTTTGAAGTTACGAACCAAATTGCAAATGGGGGTGTTCTAATCAGCAAAGCATAGATCAACAACCTCAGCCTCATGGTTTCTGCGACCGTCTTTCAAACTTGACACAACAATCCTGTTCATGTTAAAGACTTGTACATACTCCAGGTGAGACCAGAATGTGCAAATTACACATCTTATACAATGCCACTTGTCAGGGTACCACAGAAGACAAGACCTAAGGCATCCGTTTCACATTCTTTCGGTGGTTTGAAACCACTGAAAGTTCTAGAAGCATCCTTTCCCCCGTCACATTTCTCCACGTACCATAAATTGCTTTTATAGACCAAAATTAATGCTTCTTAAATGACTAAAAAGAAAAGAGAAAACTGAAGCCTGAATTTCACTGTCAGTTAAACAGAGATGCAAGCTGTTTTCCGTGTAACTGAGGCTGGAGATGTGTGATTTGGAGGAGGACCTGGATTCTAGCCCACATTAGTTTTGTCCTCCTTCTCAGCAGAGTTTCGCTATGCACTGCACAGAAGAATTAAAAGATTTAACCTAGACAGTCTTCTCAGCACAAACTGGGCTTCTAGTGGTACATGATTTTATCCTTGATACACGCACACCCCACCTCCAACCCCACACCCCCACCTCCCCACTTCACCTAGTTCTCACGTGTACTTCATTAGTCAACAAAAATACTGGAGGAGACACTTCAAATCTCTCTCTAGGAAAGCACCTTTGTGTGTGCGAGGGTGGGGTGTGGGGGGGGGACACTAGTTTCTCTGTCCAAGCCCTATTATCCATTATCCTTTATTTAGAAGTCACCCAGGGCAGACAAGGTGCTAATGTCAAGAGGAGCATTTCCTGCTTAAAATTTCTTTCAACTGCGACCCGCCCCTGCTGTAGGCCGTAGCCAATTGCAGCTGGGGCTGTTTAGTGTTCGGTTGTTGTTTGTTAAGGTTTTAAGAAATTGTTTGTCTTCCATCATAAGCTCCTAGTTGCTTGGGCCACAGGTGAAATATTTGTTTTTGTAGATTACGGAATGTTCAGCCCAGGGTGTGCCTCTGTGAACACTGGCCTTCCCCAGCCTGTGATGTCTGCGTGGGGCTTAGGACAGTTTCTGTGAGACTCGCTAAGAGAATATTTCGCAGTTGAAATCGTACATAATCCTACTAAAGTGTGGGATAGCGCTCTCTCATAGACAGGTAAGACCAGTGAACAGCAGAAACGGGTCTCAATCATCTGTCTCAGTGGACTGCTGAACTGACTTAAAGCAGGGGTCCTCGCTGGTCTCCAGCTGTGCCTGCCCCAAGGCTTTGGCAGCTGGAACAGAGGAGTACATGTGGCGATTAGAAGGTGGGACAGCCCACGGCAGAGGACTGTCATAGCCTCACCCGTTGCCTTTGCAAACCTTTTTACCATTGAGAACTGGACCTAGAGCATTGCCCATACTAGGCAAGCATTTCATCATGAAGCTACAGCCCCAGCCCAGCAGTCATAGATGCAAAGAATCAGTCCCAGCATCATATCTGCTCATTCCTCAGTCTTACGATTTTCGTGGATTTTTGTATAACAATCTATGGTTCAATTGCAAATGCTTTACTTAAGTTTTTGATTCCTTACAAGGATTCCTGCTAATAAAGTGTTTCACTGGGTTAATATACTAATTTTTTGATAATATCTATGGCAAAATCTGATGTGGTGACAACATTAACACTGGTTGCTAAGATCCCGAGGAAGTCCCTGCAAAGTGATATGGGTCGATGGCCGACGAAACTGGTGCTCAGAATTTCAGCTTCACTCTGAAAAGCAAAGACCAACATGACTTCAGGAACTATTATCTGGGTCACAGCTCCAACTGGGTTAAAGAATGTCATGTCTCTGTTCATCTCTCCCTTCATTGTTTTGGTGGTTACCTTTCAGTGAAATCTCAGATACCCCAGCAGGAAGCGGAGCCACTGACTCACAGGATGCAATTCGCCTCTTCCCCATGAGTCAGGCAGGGCCCAACCTACACCCTTGAGCAATGATGGGGACCCTGCGTGTGTGCGTGGGAGAGTCTGAGTACGCTCACCGGAATGGGGATAACCCTGACAGCCACGGGCCCTGGAGTGCTGGGACCTGTTGCCCAACATCGAGCAGAATACCAGACACAGAAAATGTCCTCCAGTTTGTTCTGACCCGCTTCCTTGTGATGACATTGGGGGGGGGGGCACGGGAGGTGTGATCCTCTAGAAGACCAATAGAGAGGAGGCAGGGATTCCGTGACTGGAAGAGAAAACCATTCCCAAGCCTCGGGCAGAAAAAAAAAATAGCTTCTTTAGAAAACAATCAAGCAAATAAAAATGGGACAAAATAAATAATGTTAATGAATGAGAGGTGTTCCCCTATTTTTCCCAATGAAATCTTTCAGAAGATTTAGACCAGAACAGCAAACTCACTATGAATCACGGTATTTGCCTGGCCCAAACAGGTAGCCGAATCCGCTATGAAACCCTTCCCAGGGCCACACTCGCTGACCTGCTCTGGAACTGTTCGGTTTTCTGCCTTCTTCCAGGGTCTGACTATAGAACCTTTTGGTAACAGTCAACCTACTGTCTCGTGTGCGCTTAGAAGACGTGAAGGAAGTGAATGAACTGTGCTGTTTTAATTTCACTTTTGATAATACCTTGCTTTTTCTTGCTTAAAATAACAAGAAATATATCGAATCAGGTCATGAAAAGATCTACTTCCTATACTTTCAGGTAACAATCTGTATTTCAGACAAAATGTGTGTGTGTGTGTGTGTGTGTGTGTGTGTGTGTATACATATATATTATAGCCTTGTTTTATACACTCGCTCTATTCCTACAGTTTTTAATTGTTAACCTTATATTTGAGCATCATTTAAATCTAAGTGTAAGAAAAATTCCTTTATTTGAGATAAAACAGCACAAGAGATCGATAGAACACAGATATCCAAATATTTCCTTTAATTTTGAGTTTTCTAAGATCCAAGAAATTTTCTTGGCAAGTGGCAAAGAAATATTTAATATGTCATTTTCTAACTGTACACATTAATTTTGTTGCATCGTTTCAGTAGGAACTGTAAACTGCACTTTAAAGTGTTTATGTATTTGACTTATCATATGACACACTAAAGTGATTCAAGCTAAGAATGAGTTTAAATACAAAGGAAAGATCAAGTATTTTTCATACTTGGTGGATAGCTCATTCATGGTGGAAGTGTTACCACTAGGAAAGAAAATTCGAGGGACTGGTGGATAGGGGGTAAAACATTAATCTTGTTGTTTGGGAGTCTTATGGCTTAGAATTCTAAAGATGGGACATGGTTCTCTTGAGTTGGAAATGAATCTATAGAGTATTATTTTAATTCTATTCGCTCTTTTTCCCTGAGATAATCTAACATGGGCAGACTTTTTACAATCTTGCAAATGTGCTTCCTTCCATCTTGCTTCTACCATCATTGATTTAAACCAGAGATGTAAATCTTTATTTTGAAAGAGAAACCTCATAAAGGATCAACAAGAGCATTCTAGTGTCTGTCATTTGCGTCATTTTATTGTAGTGACAGTGATAACTGAAGCTTTGAATATTTCATGACATTTTTAGAAGCATGCTAA